CTTATCCAGTTGTCTGTCGATGGACACTTAGGTTGGTTCCATATTTTGGCTATTGTAAGTAGAGCTACAATGAACACGAGAGTGCAGGTATCCCTTTGACATGATGATCTCCATTCCTTTGGGTGTATACCCAGCAATGGAATAGCTGGATCATATGGCCGTTCTATTTGTAGTTGTTTGAGAAACCTCCATACTGTTTTCCATAATGGCTGTACTAATTTATAGTCCCACCAACAGTGTAGAAGAATTCTCTTTTTCTTGCATCCTCACCAGTATTTTTTATTTTTGGTCTTTCTAATAGTAGCCAGTCTAATTGGGTGAGATGATATCTCAGTGTGGTTTTGATTTGCATTTCTCTGATGATTAGTGATGTTGAGCTCTTTTTCATGTACCTGTTGGCCATTTGTATGTCTGTCTTCCTTTGAAAAATGTCTATTTATCTCCTTTGCCCATTTTAAAATTGGATTTTTTTATTGTGTAGTTTTTTGAGTTCCTTATATATTCTGGATATTAATCCTTTGTCAAATGTACAGTTTGCAAGTATTTTCTCCCATTCTATAGGTTGTCTTTCCACTCTGTTGATTGTTTTCTTTGCTGTGCAGAAGGTTTTTAGTTTGATATAATCCCATTTGTTTATTTTTTCTTTTGTTGCTTGTGCTTGTGGGGTTTATTCGTAAAGTCTTTGCCCAGTCCTACTTCCTGGAATGTTCCCTGTATGTTTTCTTTTAGTGATTTTATCGTTTCTGGTCTTATATTTAAGTCTTTAATCCATTTTGAGTTGATTTTGATACATGGTGAAAGTTACAGGTCCAGTTTCATTCTTCTGCATATGGGTGTCCAATTTTCCCAGCACCATTTACTGAAGAGGCAGTCTTTTCCCCAATGTATGTTCTTGTTGCCTTTGTCAAAGATCAGTTGGCTGTATGGGTTGATTCCTGGGTTTTCTATTCTGTTCCATTGGTCTGTGTGTCTGTTTTTATGCCAGTATCATATCATACTGTTTGGTTATAATAGTTTTGTAATGTATTTGAAGTCAGGTAGTGTTATGCCTCTGGTACAGCCACCATTTATAAGCTCAGTGATCCTGGGTAAACTGCCTCAGTTTACTCACCGGCAGTAGGGGATAGCACTTGAATTTGCTTTATGAGGTTTAGGTTGTGACTAAATGAAACAATATGTGGAAAGGAGCTTGGCACAAGGTAGACACATAGAGTTCAGAGCTACTGTGTGTCTGTCTCCAAGGAAAGCCCTCGGTAGCAGGCTAGCCACTCATTGAGGTTTCATCTGAGCAGCTCCGTGGTGTGTGAGTTTTTCTAGAATGTCCTACAACCTTTGTTCTATCAGTGCTCGCTGGCCAGCAGTCTCATTAAAACATACATCTGGCTCCTCAGTGGTCATTGTGGGAACCATCGGTGCTCAGTGTCTCTGCTTCTCAGGTGTTTAGGTCCCCCTACACCAGCTGTGATGACCCTGACTCCAAGAGCTGTTTGAACTTTTCAGAGGTGCAGTCTTAGTCATTGCCTGCTGGCACCTGAGTTAGAAAAACAATGAATTTGGTGGTTTGAACACTCAGGTGAACAGAACTCAAGTGTAGAAATGATTGATCTAGGATTTTTATTTTTATGTAGCTTCTCTAGATCTCAGTTTCTGTATTTGTTGAAGGAAAGATTGGACTAAAAGCTTTTGGAATCCCCCTTTAGCAAAAAAATTCTTGTTATTGTATTCTAAATGAGGGAAGAGGTTGCAATCATTTTGACTGCATCTGCAACTAAATTTGGGGGCTTAATCTCCCCTAATCAATTTCAGAGTCCGAGTAGAGTGTACTGTTTTCCCTCCCCTTAAAGCTGCCTCTCAGACAGATCATTCAGCAGATTCTGGGGCAGAGCCTTAAAAATCTCACATTTCATTTTTATGCTGATTGCCCACTCAGTTCCTT